AGCCTCAGAGACAAACACTGAATGTCGTTTACAAAGAGATCTTCCAGAATCTCTGATTTTTTCTGTTGGCAGTTCTATACAGTTTTATATTTTATATACTTTAGAATGCCTTTCCAATTCTTGAATGAATTTGATCTTTAAAATTTAGTTTTACTTTAGTTTTCAATAGTCTATATTATATTATGAACCTAATATTATACCATGCAGTCAAATCTATACAATTTAACTAACAAATCATTAAACTTTATATCTAAAATAATCTCATAATAAACAGGATCCTGTATTTCGAAACATCAAATGCTTTTTATCTAATACATTTCAAAAATAAACGAACAGATTTATGACCCAATTATATTGGGCTTCTAAATTATTAATATCTAATGGGCTATTAGTCAGATTAAGCCTTGAAACGAACTGATGTTTAGGTTTACTTCTTATCTATATAAGACTCTTCGCTTGACTACAATAACCATAATATCTCTTCGTTTGTCTCTCTCTCATCGCAAAAGGTACGATTTTCTTTCAATGTTCTTTCTATTCTTCTGTGCGTTATTTTAGTAGATGTTGTTCTGATGTTCAATCTGTTCTATCTTAGACTGTTTTGAAACATCCTTGCATAAACCGTGATAAAGTTTATTCAATATTTTCATTTTAGGGTTATAGTACATAATCCATTGTCTGCAGATTTTATAAATCTGCAAAAATACATGGGATCTAACTATAGAGAGTATTGGATTGGTGTTTATATATTTTACATGCATTTTTCTTAGGGTTTACTATAGTGTGTTGTATGTTTCCTAAAATATATACTTTTTGTCTTTGAGTATTTTCATCGTAAACCGGATAAGACATTCTTTCTGTTGTTAGATCTGTTCTGCCTTCAATTGTAAACCGTATTTAGGTTACAAATATTTTTTTATTGAATATTGGCATTCTAGGGTTATATAAGTGTTTCATATATGTTTTTCGTTTTATGAATATTTTATTAACACTGATGAAATATATTTATCATATATTGGCAGTGTAGGGTTAGATAAACTTATATTCTCTAAATTTTGTTTTTTTCATATATTCTCTAAATTTTGATTTTTTTCTTGAACATTGAGAAGTATCTCAATGGCAGGTAACAGAGATCTCAAAATGAAAGGTCCACTCATGGAGGAAGAATCACAAATTGCGAAGGATGCTTACCTGAGGGGTAAGTTAGACACCATGAAGCGGTACAGGGCTATGTTGATTATGTGTCGGGACCAGACAAGAGCCATTGAAGAGAGGCACTCGGTTGAACTCAATAAGGTTCGTCTAGAGGTCAAACTTGATTTCCTCCATGAATGTGAGTCTCTTTTTTCCATGTACCATGAGAAGAAGAAGACCGAGTTCGAACTGGCCCTTGCCGAATCCAAACTTGAAGATGTTCGTGTTCCGCCTATAGATTGGTTCAAGCTGGGTGAACCAATGATGTATGACTGAGCATGTAATGGGAACCCTATCTCAAACTTAAATATTTAAGTTTATTTTAAAACTTTTTTTTTTGTTTAAGTTGAACTTGATATATCGGTTGTTTCAACTGGTATTTTAATTAAAGACTTTATTAGTAATGTTTATTATTGCTTGATTTACTCTTCATACTTTATTTATTGCTTGATTTATTCATATTTATGGCGTTTTAGTTTTATTTTTTTCACAGAAAATGTTTTTAGAACCATGTTAATGATTAGATACGCAGTATCAACAATGGGAAAACGTTTGGGAATTTTTAAACTTGTAACTTTTTCTTATTTTGTTATCTTAATTTATAATATATTTTTGTTATTATTTTGTTTTCACAGTTCTGAAATGTGCTTTTGATATGATTGACAAATATCTCAACTTCCAAAACACGCTTCTTTTATTGTTTATACTTCAATGATGTTCTTTCCAAGAAGTAATGATTTGACATTTTAGTAAAAACTATATTTTCAAGCCAAAAGATTTCGTATATATATTGAGTTAATCAATGCAAGATAATCATTATTGTTTTTGACTTTCTTTTCTACATGAAAAAATCAAAGGCAGTAATATGATAGTTTATTAATATTCTTTTGAGATTACTTAGGCAGTGGATTGTTTATATAGGATAAAGCTTTTGTAATATTATTTTAAATATTTCAAATTTTACGTTATATTGAATTGTGATTTTCCATTTTAGATCATGGTTTATCTTCAGAATCATCTTTGTTTTTAAAACTATTTGTTGAGGCACTCTTAGATGTTATTATGAGATTATTAATTGAAATTTTTAAATTGGCTTTATTTACATCCAATTTATATTAAAAATGTGACCAAGTTTACTATGGGCTTTCGCTTGATCCAATCAAATTTCATATACAAAAATCATATCCAACTAATTTTCACATACCAATTATATATACAAGTCTATCACATACAAATTCCATATAAAAATCTATCACATAATATATTATATCTACTTTGTCATTAGTAAGTTAGTTTTCATAGTTGGATATGAAATTTTATTACACAAAATATCTGACATAAGAAATAACACATAAGATATCAGTCAATTTTCACAAAATGAGACAAATTTTTCGATATAAATATTGTTTCCATAATACCAGGAATATGTATTACCACAAATATTAATTGCATAGATTCACATAATACGATAGCTTTTATCAGTCAAAAGTTTAAAAATATTTAAAGTTTTTTTAATAAATATTGGTAACGTGCAAAAATAATAAACAAAATAATGGCAAATACATTTAATTTCGACAAAAAATATAGGTTATTAAATGAAGTGTTGGAACTACACAAAGCTCGGTTTTATTCTTTCTATAAAGTGGAAACTCTACCGTCTCATATCAAAATCTCTTTTTCTCCATATTTTTCTCAGCAAAGCAGAAGAAACAAATTTGTAAGTTATCTTATTTTTTTTTGTAATCTATAGTGCAATTACCTGTGGAATCTCTATCACCTCCTATCAACATCTTAGTATATTGCAATCTCTCTTAGTTTTGTAATCTCATTCATATGGAATCAAACTTTGTTACCTATTTTTTTAGATCTTTCATTGTTGAACGAAACATGTTGAGAGATTAGATCATGCATTAACCGATCATTGAGAGTTGATAAGATTCCCGCTTAAGTATTTTAAGATTTCTTTCATAACAAATGGTTACCTTTCATATATATAGTCTCTTTTAATATCTTCATTGAGAGTTAAATGTTTTGATGGTGTTATATATCATTTTTTTTGTCTAAGTTCTTATTTCCATTAATATGAACATGCAGATCTCTATTTAAGTATGTCTTCGCATCAGTTTCATGGATCAATGTTGCAAGAGGCTTACACGTCTGGAATGAATGACAGGACTAATCATTACCGAAGGATTCTTAACATGTACATGAAGTTTCATGAAGCCGTTGTTGCGAAGCATGATGCTTAGGTGGAAGTTTATCGCATTTCCGGTAAACTTGAACTCTTTGATGAGATCTTCAACGATGGCGTTATGAACCATGTCAAGGACAAGCTGGAACAGGAACTTACTCTTGCTCATTACTCTTGCTCATGCCCGTCTTGCTGATGTGAAGGTTCCCACTCTCGATTGGGAAAAGCTAGGAGAAATACCCTCAACTATGATGGTGTCACATCACCCTAAATAATCAAATACTAAATGGGTTTTTATTTGTTACCGTCTGAATGTTGTTATGTTTGGCCAATTTGACCCTAAATCTGAGTCTGTAACTAATCCTAATTTTCCGTCACTTTGCGAAGCTGCGTTTTTATGTTTTCATCTCTTTCCCTTACTTATAGTTCAAGGGCATCTTTCTTGATTTTGCCCTTACATCTCATCACTTTCGCTATCGTTGTTATTGACATTAAAGCCTTGAAAAAACTGTTTTTCTTATTAGGATAACTACGTTGTTTAGATAATGATTACATTATGTATTAGGAGATAAGTCTATGTTCCTAGATAAGGTTGACTTATGTTTATCATCTCCGATACTAACTCCTTGTAAGCTCTATATAAGAGCACGTATTGTCATGAATAAGATCAAGCAATTCAATAGTTATTATATGGTATCAGAGCTCTCCTCGATCCATTAATTTTTTTTTTCATCGTTGTTTTATTCATACACAAAACAATGTCTTCTGAAGCATCATCAACCTCGGGTACGCCCACAACAGCAACACGAGCTGTGATTTATGATCCAGCCAATCCTGCAAATTCACTTCTTGCGGTCAATATGGCGAACATAACGCGTTTGACCAACACCAATTACCTCATGTGGAGCAGACAAGTCTTGGCTCTCCTTGAAGGTCATGAACTTCATAGTTTTCTTGAGAAAACCGCATCAACACCAGAAGCAGTTATCACAAACAATGGGCTTGCGGAACCAAACCCGGCCTATCCACCATGGCGCCGTCAAGACAGACTTCTATACAGTGCTATCATCGGTGCTATCTCTATTCCTGTTCAACCGTTAGTTGCTAGTGCAACCACAACACATGAAGTTTGGAGTACTCTTAACCTTGTTTTTGGAACTCCAACTCGTGGACATATAAAACAGCTAAAGTACCAGATCAAGAGCTGTGTTAAAGGAACCAAAACAATCAGCGAGTATATGCGTCTCATTAAAGCAAAATCCGATGAGTTAGCATTACTTGGTAAACCATTGGATGCTGAAGATTTGATTGAACAAATTCTGGCGGGTCTTCCAGAAGAATACAAGTCAGAAATTGATGTGGTTAATGGAAGATTGCTGCTGTCTTTTTTGCAGCTTTTATTGTTGCTGGAACTATGTGGTATGGTTCGGCAACTACTCCCATCGAATTATTTGGTCCTACTCGTTATCAATGGGATCAGGGATATGATTGTAAATTTTTAAGATAGCGAAAATAATAGAAAAAATAAATAAAAAAGTTGGTTAATGGAAGAGATAATCTCATCTCTTTCTCTGAACTCACAGAAAAACTCATCAATAGAGAAGCGATGCTGGTGTGTGATCAGCCGGCTACTCTAACTTTCCCTGTTACTGCTAATGTGACCATTCGTCCCAACAATAATAACAACAACAACCGCGGCAATAACAGCAATTGGAGGCCAACCTACTCACCTCGTCCTCCAAACAACAATAACTACAACTACAACAACAACAATGGTGGTCGTGGCCCTCGGCCTTATCTTGGTCGATGCCAGGCTTGTGGTATTCAAGGTCACAGTGTTCAACGCTGCCCTTCTTTCAGAGTAGTTTCTGCTGATACTACCTCACACAACAACAACAATACTCAATGGCGTCCAATGGCACATCCGGCATACATACACTCGCAACACCCTGATGCGTGGCTCATGGATAGTGGTGCTTCACACCATGTCACCTCTGACATGAATAACTTGGCATCTCACACACAGTATGCTGGTTCTGACGGGATTGTAATTGGCAATGGAGCAAACTTGCCAATCACTCATACTGGTTCACTTTCTCTCAAAACTCCATCTAGAGATTTTACTCTCAACAATATTCTTTATGCTCCTTCTATGAAAAAGAATCTTATCTCAGTGAATCGGTTTTGTAAGACTAACAAAACTTCTGTGGAATTCTTTCCTAATATGTTTCAGGTGAAGGATCTGCAAAAGGGGACACCGGTACTAACCGCACCAGTTAATGGCAACATGTATGAGTGGCCTGCTGCTTCATGTGCGCCTCTTGCTTCAGCTGCTAGACACTCTTCTTCCCTAGATTGGCATCACAGACTAGGACATCCTGCTTTTCCTATTTTACAAAAGATTTCTTCTAGTTTTTCTCCTGGTTTTTCTTGTCGCAATTTATCTTCTTCTCACTGCAATGCATGTTCCATTAATAAAAGTCATAAGTTGCCTTTTCATGACACTTCTATATCTTCTTCCAGACCTTTACAAATTGTTTTCTCCGATGTTTGGTCCTCCCCAGTTCATTCTTTTGATGGTTTCAAATATTATTTAATTCTTGTTGATCATTTTACTCGCTATATATGGTTCTTTCCTCTGAAACTTAAGTCGCAGGTTGCAGCCACGTTTATCAAATTTAAGCAGCTGGTCGAAACACAATTCAACACCAAACTCACAACACTTTACAGTGACAATGGAGGAGAATTTATTGCTTTGCGAAGCTTTCTTGCGGACAATGGTATATCTCATCTTACAACACCACCACACACTCCAGAGCACAACGGCCTATCCGAACGACGTCACAGACATATTGTTGAGACTGGTTTGGCCTTACTTACTCACGCCTCCATTCCTACCTCCTACTGGACGTACGCTTTTGCTGCGGCAGTATATCTAATCAATCGTATGCCTACTCAAGTCTTATCAATGGACTCTCCGTATTTGCGTCTATTTGGAGCAACACCAAACTACTCGAAGCTGCGTGTTTTCGGCTGCTTATGTTATCCGTGGCTGCGACCCTACACGACTAATAAGCTTCAACCAAGATCAACTCCTTGTGTCTTTTTGGGTTATTCTCTCACTCAAAGTGCTTATCTCTGTTTTGACCCTTCCAAATCTCGCATGTTTGTTTCTAGACATGTGCATTTTGTCGAAAACCAGTTTCCTTTTGTGTCTTTAGCAGCTCCTGTTTCCTCGGAGGTTGATACACATGACACAGCGTGGGTGCCTGCTGTGGTACCTACTCATCATCGTCTTGAAGCTGAGCAAGCGTTAGTACCATCGTCTCCCGCTGCAGCTCCCTCACCAGAAACAACACCTGCAACAATATCACCTCCGGCGGTTCCTTCTGAGACAAGTAATCAACATCAGGCCACACAACAACCTCAACATCCTATGGTTACTCACTCTCAGAATCAGATAGTGAAGCCGAATCCTCGATACTGCCTGAGCACAACATTGGCTCCCTACATTGAACCAAACACGATACAACAAGCCTTGGCAGATGACAACTGGCGCAAATCTGCTTGTGCTGAGTTCAATGCAGCGATTCAAAACAACACATGGGATCTCGTACCTCCGGAAGAAGCTACTAATGTCATTGGAAATATGTGGCTATTTCGCACTAAGTTTAAACCTGATGGAACTGTTGACAAACTCAAGACGCGACTGGTGGCCAAAGGAAACAATCAACGACCTGGTATAGATTATCATGAGACTTTTAGTCCAGTGATTAAGTCTCCTACAATACGTCTTCTTCTTGGTCAAGCAGCGAGATACAATTGGCCACTAAAGCAACTGGATATCAATAATGCGTTTCTCCAAGGAACACTTAATGATGTGGTATATATGTCACAACCCAGAGGCTTTGTGGATCGTGACAAACCGAACCATGTGTGCAAATTAAACAAAGCACTCTATGGATTGAAGCAAGCACCACGAGCGTGGTACACTGAGCTCAAAAATCATCTTCTCAGCCTCGGATTCAAGAACTCCATTGCTGATCCATCTCTGTTCTTCTACACGGGTCAAGGAATTTATCTTTTTATCTTGATCTACGTTGATGACATTGTGATTACAGGAAACTCTGAAGATAATATCCAAAGCCTTATCAGCAATCTTTCACGACGTTTCTACTTGAAATATCTTGGTGATCTTTCTTACTTTCTCGGCATTGAGGTCTTGCGTACACAACACAGCATTCATCTTTCTCAAAGGAAGTACATTGGTGATCTTCTCTTTCGCCATAATATGGTCAATGCCAAGCCAGTTCCCACTCCCATGAGTGCCTCTACAAACCTGTCGATTCGGGATGGTGACGTTCTTGACAATCCAGCTGAGTATCCTACTCTGGTTGGCAGCCTTCAGTACTTACTGTTGACACGACCAGACATTGCTTTTGCCGTCAATAAACTGTCTCAGTTTATGCATAAGCCAACCAACACTCACTGGACTGCAGCCAAGAGAGTACTACGTTATCTTGCTGGCACATACACCTCAGGCATCTTTCTCTCTCGCCACAGCAATATGTCATTACACGCGTATTCTGATGCAGACTGGGCAGACAACAGAGATGATTACACGTCTACTGGTGCTTATGTTGTCTTCCTAGGCCAGCATCCCATTTCGTGGTCAGCTAAGAAGCAGACGGGAGTTGCACGATCTTCTACTGAAGCTGAATATCGTGCTATCTCGGCTGCTGCGTCTGAAATGAAGTGGCTATTCTCCTTGATGAAAGAAGTTGGTGTTCGGCTTGACTCTGTTCCTACCATTTATTGTGACAATGTGGGTGCTACCTACTTGAGTGCTAATCTTGTGTTTCATTCAAGGATGAAACATCTTGCTCTAGACTATCATTTCATCAGGGACCAAGTTCAGAATGGTACTCTCCGCGTCACTCACGTCTCGACGAAGGATCAACTGGCGGATGGACTCACTAAACCACTCACCAGATCACGGTTTGGATTGCTTTTTACCAAGATTGGTATCACTCAACATGCACCATCTTGAGGGGGATATTAGGATAACTACATTGTTTAGATAATGATTACATTATGTATTAGGAGATAAGTCTATGTTCCTAGATAAGGTTGACTTATGTTTATCATCTCCGATACTAACTCCTTGTAAGCTCTATATAAGAGCACGTATTGTCATGAATAAGATCAAGCAATTCAATAGTTATTATATTTCTGTTTTTAACGTTGAGTTTTGTGTTAATGAAATGGGGTTACTAACCCGAAAATCATATAATAAGCTTCTTTGATTCCTAATCTTCCTTCAATAGACCTATAGGGGTTCCATCGATTCAGATTCCTCTGAGAAACACAAAGTTAACTTTTCCTATATGAACCGATGATCAGTGATGTATAAAAAGAGTTTGGTGATGATCCTTATACTTCCTTATTTTTGCTTCGGATTAAAGTCAGCTATGGCCTCTGCTTCTGGTTCTGCTCTTTGCTTCACTGATGCTTCTAGCCCTCGCGTTATCAGATGTGAAGTTGGAGTTTTCTGTCTTGCTCCTAGGACAGTCACGTTCGGGATTTGTCGATAATCTATTACTAATCTCGACCGATCAAGGTTGTTTGAGCTAATCCTTTCATCTCTTTTGCTGATCCAATCTACTAATTTAGTTTATTTTTTCTGTGTCAGGTTAACTGGTTTGAAGCCTCGAGCATGAGATGCTGCGGCTGTGGAGGTAATGAACTGATCAGATTACACGAGGATGCTGAGAATACAAAAAGTAGATTTTAAGTTTTGTTTTTTTTTTTCTCTTAATTTTCTTGAGGAATGAAAATGTTGCTGATTCTGATAAATTCTAACACCGGTGATCATAATAGACCAAGATTCTGACCCTGATTCGACCATTATTGAAGTTACATGTGGCGGCCGTCTTGGAGCTCTTCTTGACATTGTAATGAATGACTCTTCTCCTTTTCTCACTTGCTGCTTTTACTTCTTTCCTTCTTATATGATATTGAATGTTTTGTCTAGATGAATGCACTCATGAACTTGGGGCTGAATGTTGTCAAGGTTAATGTCTACCTTGATTCTTCTGGCAAACACAACAAAATTTGCCATTACCAAAGTGTTTCTCTTTCTTAGATTTGTCTATGTTACTTTGAGAATGAAGTCGGAGAGAGAATTGATTAGATTGGATCTTTTTGCAACTGAAACAGAGATAGTGGAAGAAAAGTAGAAGACCCTGAATTGCCTGAGGCCATCCATCTCACCATCATAAACAATATGCTTGAGTTTCATCCTGTATAACCACCACCTTTTCCCAATATGAAAGTTTCCTTCTTCCATTAAATTTCTAAACTCACATATTGTTTGTTGATTATTTTGGAACAAGAATCACGTTCTCAATTGGTAATGGGAGCAGCTTTTGTAGTTCTTCCACCAACTGAACAGGTTAAAAGCTCTTCAGGCTTGATATTGTTTGTATAAATATTTAAAAGAGAAAACAAAGAATAGATAGTCATCTTTCCTAAATAAGATAATAAAAACGTAAATTCAAAGTTAACCTTGAAATTATTTTTTTCTTTGTTAAGTATTTTGGATTGGGATGTTTGACAGGTTGATGTGGACTTTGCAACTCACATAAGCATTGTGGGAACCGAAATCCACCTACTGTCAACAAATCGTAAAAAAGGAAACTTCGGGAAAACCCTAAGTTTCCAGAGGAACCGGATCTCTGCGAAAGCCAACGACAAGTAACCAAGAACGCGATTAATATGAATAAATTGAAAGATATAAAAAGAAAAACGAGATTGAGAGCAAGAAGGATTCTTATTCCGAATTCGTGTAANAAAGATATAAAAAGAAAAACGAGATTGAGAGCAAGAAGGATTCTTATTCCGAATTCGTGTAAGAACGGTTACAACGAGAGTTGCCTTAGCTGCGTGAGCCGTCGGCGAAATTCCTAGTTCTAACAATCTAAGACTAAAACCCTAGTTGAGACGCAGCTCGATAACGAAAACGGAAAATTTCCTAAATGCTAATTTTTGTCGTGAGAGCTCTGAAAATCGTGTCCCAGCTTCTGCCCTATGCCTCCTCCTTATATACTCCTCCTTAGGCGGTTTTAGTCTTTCCATTTTGCTCGAAACCGAATATTTCGGGAACTTTCCATATCTGTCGATCCTTCCTTTTCTTCTGCGGAAATCTTCTATTTATCTTCAAACTTGCCTTTTATCTTTCGTCTGCGAGTAGACCGTCAAAACGTTATCGTATCTTCGGGTTTGATTTCGTTAACGTCGTGAGATGGGTTTTTATCGTGTTTTAGGACCTTTCGGGCCGTTTTACGATAAAAATCGTTTTACGACTTTAACGAGACCGTTTCCTGATCCGATGCCGTTTTTTTACGATTCTCTCGACGTTTTTTATTAAAAACGCGTTTTTTATAATCTTAACGAAGAATCTCGGATAAATCGTATAGTTTAGGCGATGTTCGGTGTTTTGATTAACCGTACCGTTTTATACGATTTCTTCGAGTTCTTTTCGGAAAACGGAGTTTTACGGTTTTTATCGTAAAACTCGAACGATAGGACGGATCGAGACGAAACATGAGACATTTCGACCGTGATTTGGAATACGATCGTGTCGAAGGACATATGCCTTGAATCAAGGATGTGGGAGATCGAGGCTCGGGATGGTCGGCTCGACGTACGGCGAGCTAGTTCAGCTTGGCTAGGTCGCCATATGTCGAACTAGGCGAAAAGAACCAGTGGGGCAAAGTCAGCACCTCTTAGTAGAGTGCCTCCTAGTTCGCCCATCGGCGAACTAAGCCGGGCCGGCTTAGTTCGCCGATGGGCGAACTAGTGGAGTATCTCCTAGTTCGCCCATCGGCGAACTAAGCCGGCTCGGCTTAGTTCACCCATGGGCGAACTAGTCGTGACTAGTTCGCGTTTTACGGCTGTTTCGGTTTTTTGCGGTTTCGTAAAACGATTAGTCGAGTTTCATAAAACGATTCATCGAGTTTTATAAAACGATTCTCGAGTTTTATAAAACGATTCTTCGGGTTTTATAAAACGATTCTTCGAGTTTTATAAATCGATTCTCGAGTTTTATAAAACGATTCTTCGAGTTTTATAAAACGATCTTCGAGTTTTATAAAACGGCTTCTCGAGTTTTATAAAACGATCTTCGAGTTTTATAAAACGGCTTCTCGAGTTTTATAAAACGATCTTCGAGTTTTATAAAACGGCTTCTCGAGTTTTATAAAACGGCTTCTCGAGTTTTATAAAACGATCCTCGAGTTTTATAAAACGATCTTCGAGTTTTATAAAATGATCCTCGAATTTTATAAAACGATCCTCGAGTTTTATAAAACGATTCTCGAGTTTTATAAAACGATCCTCGAGTTTTATAAAACGATCTTCGAATTTTATAAAACGATCTTCGAGTTTCATAAAACGATTCTCGAGTTTTATAAAACGATCCTTAAGTTTTATAAAATGATCTTCGAGTTTTATAAAACGATTCTCGAGTTTTATAAAACGATCATTAAGTTTTATAAAACGATTTCTCAAGTTTTATAAAACGATCTCCGAGTTTTATAAAACGATCTTCGAGTTTTATAAAACGATTTCTCGAGTTTTATAAAACGGCTTCTCGGGTTTTATAAAACAACTTCTCGAGTTTTATAAAACGATCTGTGAGTTTTATAAATGACTTTGAGTTTTATAAAACGACTCTTCGGGTTTTATAAAACGGCTTCTCGAGTTTTATAAAACGGCTTTTCGAGTTTTATAAAACGATTCTATTGTTTTATAAAATGATTTCTCGAGTTTTATAAAACGGCTTCTCGAGTTTTATAAAACGATTTCTTGAGTTTTATAAAACGATCTTCGAGTTTTATAAAACGGCTTCTCGAGTTTTATAAAACGATCTGCGAGTTTTATAAATGACTTTGAGTTTTATAAAAAGACTCTTCGGGTTTTATAAAACTATTCCTTTTATATTTTCGCGGGGAGTTTTGGCTATTAAATCCATCGTACCGATTTTGACCCCAACATTATATTTCTGCGGGGAGTTTCAGCTGTTGATTCCGTCGTACCGATTTTGACCCCAACAGTTAGCCCCCCAGCTCGTAAGAATCTTGAGCCTTTAGCGTAAGGTTCTTGCGAGTGGTTAACCAGTTTTAGTTAAGTTAGGCGGAATTAATGGTCGGAAAGGTTCATTGAAAGTGATCTTTCCACTCTCCAGGGAGCGGAAAGCGTTTAAGATTAGGGCTGCGCCTTGTGAAGGCTGCCTATGTACCCTTTTGAGGGGATCAAGCCTTTCGTAGTTCATTTCGGAGTTAAGGTTCGTATGACCTGTTTCCCAGCAAGACCTTTACGGTCTAGTTATATGTTTATCGAGCATATTGATGTCGATGGCATCTTGACCTTTGCCGGCCTTGAGACTAGCCTCGTAGGCCGTTTGATCTGGCTGAGCGTGGCCGTTATAATTTTCGGACTGGCCGTGTGCGGCTCTGAGTCCCTGCCGCTTTTGCGGCTTTATTAAAAATCAGTTTGCGTTTTTAAGAGCGTGTTTTTATTCGTATGAATGTAGCGGGAAGATTATGAGTTGATATTGAGGGAGGTCCGCGAGTTGTCGTCTCGCATTCCGTTTTCCCTTAGTGTATCGCCTTGTTCGTTTGCCCGTTTNATATAGACGAAGAGACATGCCTTTAGGACCTCGATTCATGCCTTGAGACGTTAGCGACCAGTGTGCTGGGTTTAGGGCAAGACCTAGGTTTACTTTCGGATTGAGGCTATGCGATGACTAGTCGGCTTTCGTTTTGCCTGTTGCGATTTTAACCTGATTCCATACCGATTTAGAATCCGCGATAGGTTCTCGGCTTATACATTCGTCTGGTTGGAACCGAGCATCTCACCGGGAACAATTTCTAAGTTGCCCGGAAGTGCTGACCAAAATTTTGGATTTCTTTTATAGCGCTATTACCCTTGTGTCGGGTGTTCGAGAGCTATCTCTGCGAGATAACTTAAGTTTGTTTAGGACTGTTGCGAGTTTGTTGTGATCAGCAACAAAATTTTTAGGTGATATATGTTTACGTTATTTTGGCCTTCGCGAAGGATACATACGTTAAGAAGTTTTGCGTAATTTTATAGTCCCAGACGGACTGTTAGGTCTTCCAAGAAAATGACTTTATCAAGGAAGGTATTTATGTCGAAAAACTAATCTCCGGGCGTCTGCGACGTCTCGCAGTGCCGAAAGTTGGTTTTTATTTTATATGCCGCGTTTCGTGTTTGGAACGTTTGCGGGCTCGAAGATGTTGCGCGGTGTTGCGAGGGTTTTGTCTTAACTCTGCTTTGCAGGAATACTTTGGTTCGTTTGCGGATATTCGCAATTAAAACTTAAATTTCTGTTTGGATGTTAGGTAGTTTTATGATTTGTGCAAGAGCAATTATGACCGAGAGGTCGCGTAAGTTGTTTCTCTGAAACGAAGCGTTTTTCGTTACGGTGCTTTTTGAAGTGTTGACCTTCCGAGATTCGTACGGCTTTAGGAGCTTTGGTACGAGTGTTTCCTTATACGTCGGATTTTGTAGGCAACTTGCTTCGGAAATAGGGTGAATCGCGAGGATACATAACTTAGCCAATTTTTGACAAGTTCGCATTATCCGTTGAATGTATTGGCTTGGCGTGAAGGTTGTGTTCATCCGCACAGCCAAGGTCGTATTTGGTAGAGGATTAGACCGCGACACTTTCGTGCTATCGAAAAGGTCGAGTCGGTTTGTAAATTTGACATTGAAGTGAAGCGCGATCGGACAATAGCCAAGTAGTCTTTGTCGAGATTGATATGCCAAGTATGCCGTGTTTATAGAAAACGTTTTTCCGTTGTAGGTTTGATTTATACGGTGAAAGTTTCGTATAAACTTTCCTTTGTATGGAAGTTGTTTTTTTTTTTTTTTTTTACTCGAGGGAGACAGATCCTAAGAAGCTCGATGCAGAGCCCGTGCGGAGTCGTTTGCGGGGCGGTCTCATGTAATCGGGAGGAATGAGAGCGGATGCTCGTGAACCGAATGGCTAAAGAGTGAGATCTTCCGGATCGTGTTGCGAGGAAACAAAGTTTAGATTGGTCGC